TGGATCACCGTGGGCATTTCACTGACATCAACGCAGGGTGGTCCGGAAAGGTGCATGATGCACACATCTTCAAGAATACCGGCCTGTATAGAAAGCTACAAGCGGGGACTTTCTTTCCAGACCAGAAGATTACAGTGGGGGATGTTGAAATGCCCAGAGTGATCCTGGGAGACCCGGCCTACCCCTTACAGCCGTGGCTCATGAAACCTGACACGGGAAATCTGGACGGCAGCAAGGAGCAGCTCAGCAACAGGCCGAATAGGTGCCAGATGACAGTGGAATGTGCCTTTGGCAGATTAAAGGCGCGCTCGCGCTGCCTTTGTGGCAGGTTAAACCTCAATCAGGATAATATTCCCATGGTCATAGCCGCATGTTATATGTTGCATAATCTTTGTGAAGCTAAGGGTGAAAGGTTTGCTCGGGGTGGAGTGTTGAGGCAGACCGCTTGACTGTTGATTTTGAGCAGCCGGATACCAGGGCTATCAGAGGGGCCCAGAGGGGGGCAATTCGAATCAGGGAGGCTTTGAGGCAACACTTTCAAAATGAGAACCAGTAATTATATCTCAGTGATTGGTGCTGCAATGTTACATTACATGTAGTTTTCCTAAGAAGCAATGATGACATTTGGGGCCTTACATTCCAGTAAGCAAATGATTACATTGCCTGTGTATGTATTAGTAGTGCCTACTATCTCAATTCGTAGGAAACAAATAAAGATGAGTTACTGTTCAAAAACTTTGCTTTTATTAAACAAGAAACCATACACACACACAGGCACTTGGTGGGAAAGGAGGTACCAGGGAAGGGCAGACTTTCAAAGCTGTGTGTATGTCCAGCTATCATTTTGAAAGTTGTCCGAGGGGAAACAGAGAACTCCCAGGAAGGACTATGTGGGCAGAGTTTGGGGGGAGAAGGGGACATGTGAAAGAGTTCTGAATGTACTGCAGGGGAGGGCGGGCATGCATCTGCTCAGTATGCAGGATTATTAAGGACTTCAGCATCTGTGTTTGCTCTTCCATGACTTTAATCATCTGCTCAGTAGCGTCCTTTACAAACTCCTGATTTTCTTTTCTGTCCTCCCTTTCCACTTCCCTCCACTCCTTGCGTTCCCTTTTCTCTGCATTGGAGAAGTGCAGTACCTCCCGGAATATGTCTTCTTTGCTCCGTCTTGGGCGCTTTCTTATCTGGCGGAGACGCTTGGCCAGTATGTGTGGAGTGTTCCTGAAGGCCACATCTGCCGAAGCACAAGGAACAATGCACAGAAGCATGATTGTTAAGTTCATGCACAGCATTGACACATTTCAGTAAAATACACCTCTGGTAACATTACAATCACTTTCTCACTGACCCTTGGCAAGCACATATCTTGGCAAACACCCAAAGCATAGTGAGTGTTGGCTGGGGGGGTGCTCTACATGAGGAAAAGGGTGCTCCGCAAGGGTTCCGGTGCAGCCAACAAGAAAAAAATTCTAAAATTCTCCCACACTTTTCCACAGGTGAGGGTCATTGTAGCAGATATGTCACTGCTGAGGGTAAGCAGGGAAGCAAGGGTACATCTACTACATGCTTGTGGCTTCCATCCTGGTCCCTATGCTGCTTGCCTGTGTGCCACTTTGGTCCCGATAAGTGATTGCCAAATGGCGCAGGAAAGTTTCCTACAATGAGGGGAAGGAACAAAGCTGCTCTGCCAAGGAACTTTCGTCAGAGGATTGCCAAGTACCTCCAGGAACCTTTCCTAGAGATCTCTCTGGGGGATTCCTGTGAGATCTCAGTGTGCATCAACTCCCTGTTCCGCCGTAATGATTAGCTGCACAGGGAAATGTCCAGCACACAGAAACACAGCCAGCCTCCCACATTTCTATGCCCTGAACCCATTTCTGCACGACACAAACCACAGCCACTTACCAGGCGTCTCCTCTCCTGCTTCTTGCTCACCGGAGAGCAACTGCTGAGACTGGCTAGACAACTCCGGAGTGCTGAACAGTTCCTGGCTGCCTACCCCCCGGGAGCCTCACATCATCATCTAACTCCATCAATGACTTCGTCCTCTGGGTTAGATTCTCTTTCCACCGCCTCCGTTCCCTCCAAAGTATCCACGGGGCTCTTGGTGGTGGAGGTGGGGTTGCCACCGAGGATAGCATCCAGCTCCTTATAGAACTGGCAGGTCTTAGGTGCAGCACCGAAGCAACGATTTGCCTCCCTTGCCAGCCTCAGCTCCTTTATCTTCACTTTGCACTGCAGCATGTCGCTCGTAGCCCTTTTTGCACAAGCCTTGACAGATCTGCCTGTAAGTATCAAAATTCATACGTCAAGCGCAGCTGGGACTGCCCAGCTTCCTCTCCCCAGATACTGATCAGATCTAGCAGCTCTGCAGTGGCCCAAGTGGGAGAGCATTTGCTGCGATAACCCGCCATGGTCACCTGGGAAGATGCGATGAGACCTCTCCATGGCGAACCAACAGGAAATGGAATTTCAATAATTCCCAGGGCTTCTAAGCGGGAGGGGCACATGGTTGTTTACCTGGCTGCAGGGCAGTGGAAGTCAAACTGGTGACCAGAGCGGTCCAATTGGGCATTGTGGGACACCTCCTGGCGGCCAATTAGAGTGATAAAATCCAGCGTGGTGTCTACACTGGCACTTTGTCGACAAAAATTTTGCCCAGAAAGCCTTCTGTGTCTCGTCTGGGTGGTTTTATTTTGCTGACGAAACGGCATTTTTGCCAACAAAAGTCGCATTGCATTGTGTACACATTCACTGGTTTGTCAACAAAAGCTGCTTTTTGTCAACAAAACTCCGTAGTTAGACAAGGCCTAAGTAGCCAGCAGAGAGAATTGAACATGTCCCTGCAATTCTCCAGTGATGCATGAGCCAACTGAAACCTAGAAGGGGCTCTGACTTCCATCATCACCGCAAGTGCAGGTATTCCAGGCACAGAGAGAGCTGAAGCTAGCAGCTCCTACTTTGATTTCTGCTCTAAGTGACTGGGAGGAGTGGGGAGGGACAGCAATGACATGAGCTACTCTGTAGGTCTTTAGATTTGTCCCCAAATACCAATGTGTATTGTAAGATAACTTCTGCACATCGCCCATGTGCATATCGTGTTCTGAAACCAGAACTGTCAGGTTTGTTTTAGCCCTTTTTTCTTAAAGCAGAACGTATGAGTATTCCCTTTCCAGCATGCACACACACACTTCATTCTCCTTCCAGTCCTATCTTCACCATGTTTAACAATCAGGCCGACCATGGTTTAACTCATTTGTGTGCCAGGAGATGGCAAGAGGAGGGGTGGCCCCACTTGTGAGATCCAGGTGGAACACTTCAGTTAGAAGCCCAGCATCTCCTGCCTCCTCTTCCAGCAGCTGGGTGGGATTTCTACCAGGATGCTAACCCCAGTTCCTGCTTGGAGGTGCCATCTTACGTATCAGCCTCTGGTTAGTAGATAAAATGAAAGATATGCCTCCCTCTTACTGTTGGATCAGAGAAGAGATTCCTGTTTTTTTGCTCCTCCAGAGCCTTTTGGTTGTTGCAAGCAGGGTAGGTTTCACTACTCCTTCCTCAGGTCTCCATTTCCTGGATCCTCCTACCCTGTGAGTAAGTACAGTTCCTGTCTCTGCTGCTGCATAAACCATTCCCCAGCAGCAGCAGTGACACTGACATGGCCCTTGACAGTTGCACAGCTAGTTTCTGAAAACAAGCAGTGAAACTGGCCAGAGTTTTATTTATTTCTCTCTGAAGTTTGGCCAAAGTTACTGAGCAGCAGCAGAGGCACTGGAGCTGTCTGGGTCCAGACTCAGGAAGCAACACTGCCTTGGTTTGCATTTGGTTCACATTTGCAGAATTATCCTTGAAACCATAAGGTCTAAAAGCTTAATTTAAAATAAATTTTGCAGAAATTCATGGTTTGGGGCCTTTATGCTCACTGGGTATATGGATTCAAGGCCTTTCATCTGTCACCATGGACAGGATCAAACTGCATTCAATCCAGGTTTAGAGTCCTTCTAGCCTCGCTCTTCCCCCTGGGAGACATTAGACACAATAATTGGACATAATTTGCTCTCATTCATCAGCTGGCAGAGCTAGTTATAACGCAGACAACCAAGTTTAAAACATGCTTAAGCACAGTTTTCCAGATCGTGGTTAAAAGTCCTGTGTAGATGGGGCCTCTATATGTTTATTTTGCCCCTTCTTTTCCCATTCAATATGAACTGGTGGTTTTAACATTGAACAAGTTCATTGGGGTACAATGACGTGCCAAATGTCTATCCATCAATTCAGAATGATCAGCTACTGTAGGTGCTGATCACACTGGATACTTTTGACATGCCACACCATGCTGCTGCCACATTTTTCCAACGTCACCAAGATTCACTCAAGTTCAGAAACAAAGGTAATATAATCCTGCTTCCAGGCAAAGTCTGTTAATCTTTCCTCCTTGTTTTGCCTAACCCATATTGGGGGAAAAAGCTTTAATGAAATACTCGGCTATTCTTCCAGCCCTCTCGGGTCCTATTCCTAAGAAGCATAGAACCATAGAAGTTAGAGATGGAAAATAAGACCTATTAGATCATCTAGTCCATCCTCCAGCCAGCTGAGGATTGTTGCCCACTTGCTTCCTTTGGGAATCTTTTTAAAAGAGGCTGCCAGTGACTGGCAACAGTCTGCTTTTGATTTCCATTGTGCTGGCGGAGGGAAATAGCCAGCTTCCTATGAGCACATCAGGAAATTGCAGCACAGGGATCACACAAGTGTTGTTGTACTGGGCTGGAGTTGTACTGATGGGCAACATCAGACTCCAATTTTTTAATTAAGTGAGGAAAAGATAACTTACCTTTTGCCAATGGATACTTTCTTACGGAAAGAGATCTGCATTTCTAGGGATTACGGGGACATATTTTGGCTCACACCAAAGTGTATTACAAGTGACCTTTGAAACAGCGCTCGCTCCAGAGATCAGAAATGGGAATGATTCATCTAAATTCCATCTCCAACTCTTTTACCAGTGGCGACCTAAATGAAGACACCCTGGAGACAGAAAATGCAGCTGCTGCAGCCGCTGCTGCCTTCACAGCTTCCACACATCTGAAAGAAGCTGTCTTAGGTAGGTTCAGTGTACTGCCTTGGCCTTTACTGCAACCTTCCTCATGGCACCTTTGCAGCATCAGCAGTCCTGCTGCTTGAGGGTTTGAGTGCTGCAGGTCTGCCTAGCTCAGCTGCCTGGGAGCACACCACACTGCCAGTGAGAGGCCAGGAGCCTCCTTGCAGAGCAGGCAGACTGACACCTTCAGGATCAGATCATGGTTTCACACATTTCCTGCAGGCATCACTGTAGCTGTTATTTGCTCAAGGAAACAGAACAGTAGAGCCATAATCCTGCCTCCTAACTGCATGTGACAAAAAGGAAGGTGAGAAGGCCCAAAAGGGAGAGTGGGCAGATATGCGTCTGACGAAGTGGGTATTCATCCACGAAAGTTTATGCTCCAATACATTTGTTAGTCTAAAACAGGGATAGGCAACCTATGGCATGTGTGCCGAAGGCGGCACACAAGCTGATTTTCAGTGGCACTCACACTTCCCAGGTCCTGGCCACTGGTCCAGGGGGCTCTGCGTTTAATTTAATTTTAAACAAAGCTTCTTAAACATTTTATAAACCTTATTTACTTTACATACCACAATAGTTTAGTTAGATATTATAGACTTATAGAAAGAGACCTTCTAAAAACGCTAAAATGTATGACTGGCACGCGAAACCTTATATTAGAGTGAATGAATGAAGACTCGGCACACCACTCCTGAAAGGTTGCCGACTCCTGGTCTATAAGGTGCCACAGGACTCTTTGTTGCTTTGGTCAGATATGGTTTCATAGCACACTGCTGCCCTCTCCTGGCTAAGAGTGGGATTGCTTGAATTTATTCCCCATTCAATCTGCTACCTATATGTTTTGCCCATAGTTCAGCCATGGGATCATCAAATTGTCTGTTTACAAGAGCATTACTGCTTGCTTCTGAAACCTGACGACGAATTTATGACTCAAAAATTGTAAGAATGTCTCTGCCAATTGGGCTGCAGTGGCATAAATCAGTTTAGTTTGGAAAGTCTCCCTTGGGTTTGCTGGCCTCTTCATTATTTGGATTAAGTTTAATGAACTTACTCTCGTAATAAAAATGGTGACTCCCAAAAACTCTCTGATCCCTGTAATAAAGTATTGATGCTCGGGCTCGGACAGTGATGCTTTTGTATCTTGGAATGTTCCTGTGGCTCTCACTTGAGTGCTTCACTCCAGTGTAGGCAGGTAGGAAATATTCACCAACTGAGTTGAAGTGGGTTTGCAAGTGTTTAATTTTGCAAAAGACATGATTACCTGCTTATAAGCCCTCCTTTGGGAACAGTGGAAGACCCACCACCTTGAAAATAGACAGTTGCACCATAATAATGTGTGTGACTATATCTGTCTCAAATGGCTGCTTGGTATTGAAGGCTGGCTAAAAATTTGTCTGAAGAGCCTGGTTTTCCTGCCTGCCTTCTCTTTTTGCTCCCAAGCTTTAAAACTCTGTCCCAAAATGTCTTTAACTCTTGACAGTAATCAATAGTTGTAACTCATTTTCCTTTTGACCCGCCCCGATCCCTGCCTTCTCATTCCCTGTGAGAAGTGAAGATGGCTGAAGAGGAGGACAGCTTGGAGGCTGAGATTGTTTATCCCATCACCTGCGGAGATAGTAAAGCCAACCTGATATGGAGGAAATTCGTGTGCCCAGGCATTAATGTGAAATGTGTCCAGGTGAGGGTACAGTGTTATAGAATCATAGAATATCAGGGTTGGGAGGGACCTCAGGAGGTCATCTAGTCCAACCCCCTGCTCAAAGCAGGGCCAATCCCCAAATAGTCCCCTTAAGGATTGAACTCACAACCCTGGGTTTAGCAAGTCAGTGCAGGCCAATGCTCAAACCACAAGGTCCCTAAGGAAGGACTGCATGTATGGAGATAAGAGGTGTGCTCTTAGGTTATCCTCCTGGCCCAGAAAGGAGAATAAGGACCACAGATGCTAATTAAATCTATCATTCCAGTGCTGTTGCTATGGTAGATCACTCTACCTGGTTGCTAAACTCCATCCATATGTGGTTTTGACTGTGTCAGGAAGCAGGGCTCTGTTATAACTAAGTTGAGATCCTGCTTTAAAGGGGAAAGGAGAGGAAACTATTTCGAGTACCATTGTCTTCATGCAGTCTGTTATTGTGACTTAGTGCTTCATAGGAAAACTGAGCAGCTCTGGCTAGAGCTTCAACTTCAATCTGGCTCTGCCTTTGAGCAGTTGTCTAAAACCTAGACATTCCCTTTATCAGCTGAGTTTAAGAGAAATTGTTACGGTGATGCAAACCTTCTTGGTAAAGATGGTATTGACCTGTTTCCACTCTTTCCACCCCAGATGGTTGGGGGTGAAAAAAACTCTTCATGAGTGGAGGAGTGGGGGGCACTTTTCATTCCCAGAACATGTGTTTCATGATAACACAGTAAGGCATCAATGGTAAACAATAATCTGTCCCTTAAGAAGGATCTGCTTTCAGGCTGCGCTGCCAGAGAGCTTTTGACGAGATGGCCTACTCCCCTTCCTCTTGGCGAGATGGATCTTTCCATGTCTCTCTCTCTCTCCAAAGCAAACAGTAGAGACTGGAGCAGATCAGTTGTGCCTGCTACCACCAGAGATCAGCTTCCTCTTTGCACTTGACTCTGGTTCCTGTTATAGATCAATGGTTCATGTCATGCAGCAGTTGGAAATATCAGATTTACTTGTTAACCTAGGAGGGAATGAAAAGAGCCCTGGAGGTGGCAAATCCCTACTGGAATTCCCCATAGAAGCTTTATTAAAGGAGGACTGTCTAGCTCAGTAGGGGTCCTAGGTCACCAATTCAAATCCACCCAGTCAGTAATGAGGCAAAGATGTCACATGACTATTCAATATGAAATATGCTGGTTGTCTCAATCTAGTTCCCGGGGGGGGGGGGGGCGACACAGATATCCCCATCATAAAAGCGGCTGCTGTCGTTGGCACTAATTGTGCTTGTTGACTAACTCTGCAGAGGCCAAAGTTTGAGCCGCCAAAGAGCCTGAGTCTTAGCATCTCTTCTAGTCAAGTCATTGTTGAGGTGCTTTGTGGGGTTGACCATTGGGGTTAGGAAGACTGGATACTAATGGTGGGTGGGACAATCTGTTATTTGTCACTAGTTTGCTTGATAGTTAGTGGGAGCAGATGAGAGCTAAATAAAATAGTGTCTTAGTTGCACATGGTATGGAGCAGCACACTATAATGCAAATTATATTTTGCACAAACCGCATTAGGATGGATCTTGTATGGCCTTCCTGTCTGATGCTTTGTGGTATGTACAGGGCTAGGAGAAGAATTTGAAACCAATTTCTGCCAAAGTTCAGACTCTTGGCTCCTGTTAGGATATATTTCAGTGTAATCACAATATCCTGGTGGGTGATTTTCACTAAAGATGGGCCTAGCCCAGAGAGTCCTATCAAACTTTGGGGTTGTTCAGATCAGAAGTTTTGGTATAAGCCCAGCTTTGGTTTTAACAATAATATTAAAACTTGGCCATCAGGGTCGTTCTGCTCTGTCACTGGGCACAATGCTAAATACAGTTTATGCACCCTGGTATAACATATGCCTGTCCTCTCATGTGGAACGAGTCCACATTTTTCCTGCTGCGTCACACCATGTTGCATTTCTCCCCTTTGCAGTATGATGATCACCTAATTAGTCCCAAAGAGTTTGTCCACTTGGCTGGCAAGTCAACCCTGAAGGACTGGAAGCGAGCAATCCGGATGAATGGGATCATGCTCAGGTTAGTCTTTTTGCTTGCTTGTATATGTGCATGGATGGCCATGGTTTCTTCTTTCTGGGAGAATCCAGGACGATGTTCCGCATGCTCTGATACAGCTGTTAAGCGACTGAGTGGATATGTGTGCCACTGAATACACTGAAAATTTGTCCCAATAACTGTCTATCCATCCAGTGATCAGTTTTATGTTTTCCTTGTTGCAGGTAGGCAGAGGTGGTTAAGAAATGAGGGACTGTCACTACCTGTCATAGTCCCAGGGCAACAATGTGATATGCAGCTGCCTCTAGGCGGTGCATGGCAGTTGTGTAACAGCCACACAGCAATAGCGCATAACAGTTTTAGAACAGGAAGTAAAGAGAATACACTATCCAGTTGGAAATGCAGGGGAAATTTGGAAAGGCAAATGTTAATTTCCTTATCTGGAACTTGACGAGGACTAAAACCCCATCTCCTCTTACAAATAGTGTCATGAGATCTTTAATGGCCACAAGCTGTCAGACTGTGCTGTTTACATCTCTTCTAAAAGACAGAACTTGTGCAGCAGAGCACTCCTGAACACCATTCCAGAACATTGGTTCATTACTGATTGAGAGAAGAAGGCCACCTACTGAATCCGCACTCCCTGCTGCATGAGATTAATCTATCCATACTGTTATGTTATGTCTGTCTTAAACCACTTTTTTTGCCAAAAGGCTTATTTGTGCCTTCCTCTTCTCTGGCCTTGACTACAGAAATTCCTTTCCTTATGAAGCAACAGAGAGTCCTGTGGCACCTTTAAGACTAACAGATGTATTGGAGCATAAGCTTTCCTTATGGTCTCCCAGAGCACCAGCTCGAGACTTCTGTCTGACCAAAATCCACTTGTTTCTTCATCCATAGTCAGAAGCAAAAAGAAATCATCCCCTACCCCAGAATTATCAATGGCTCCACACTCCTTTCATAGCAAGGCTGCCCCACCCACTGAGCTCCTGCAATAACACAAACTGCTCTCGTATTATTGTTAATCAGCTTTTACTCATTGGTCGTTGTAACCCAATACATCAGTGTTTTGGCAAGGCTGGTCTTCTGAGGAACAAAACCTGTTTACAAAGGATGTGTGAGGGCCAGCCCAGTAACCTAGTGGCAAACAGCCCAGCAATCCAAGATGATGTCTCCAGCCAGCAGAGGCTCAGAGTATTACCGAGGCAGCATGCTCAGTACCTGGGGGTGAGGAGACCATCTGTGCCACTCTGGCAATGTCCTTTTGCTGAGCTGAGATGCCTCATTTTTAGATTCCAAAAGGAGCTACATCCAGCCCTTCTTTACACTGAGGGAGAGTCTCCAGGATGCGGGGTAGATGAATGGGTGATAAAGGGAAACCAACTTTCTGCTATTTCACTGTTTAATTTGAGGTTGTCATTGTGCCATACTTTATAGAGGTTCTGTGATGATGGGGGCATGTGTTGGCATTAGATGTCCAATAAGACCAGATTAAGATCTTCCTTTGTCCTTCTCCCGCTCCTCTTCCTGTCTGATAACTAAGCCTGGAGTTTGTCAAAAGAAGCCCATTGTGGCTTAATTTCCACTTTCTCTCCCTTCTTCAGCTGAGCATATTATCTTCTAACTGACCCCTCCGCGGGGCATTCAGCCAGTAGGCAGAGAACTCTGTGTGCTTGAACCTGGTTCCCAATAAATCTCAGACTAACTTCTCCATCAGCGCTTCTAACCTCCTGCTTATCGACTCAGGGACACCCACCATGCTTCCTGTATTCAAAGTGCTGGCATATATCTGTGAATGTGAATATTCTGACACAGTTTTGCCCTATTCACAATGTATTAGCATGCTATTCAGCTCTAGTGAGTGGCATAGTAGTTAAACTCACATGTAAAGGCTGTATAGAAGGGGATTAAATGCTCGTCTTGTTGGTAAACAATTTTTCCCCTCTCTTCCTGTCAGAGTGGACTTTCTTACTCACACACTCTCACTCGCACTTTCATTTATGGGCCACTAATTTGGTTCATGTTCCCAAAAGAATTGGATAATAGGGAGAAAAGAGAAGCAACTCTTGGTCCATTACCTCTGCCAGTCCCTCTGATCTTTACTGGCCCCTTGAGCAGGAGTCCTGAGGGCACTTCAGCAGCTGATATCCTGCAGGGCCATCTCATGTTCTGCTTCCTCTCCACCAAGCCAATCGGAATCGTCTTAAATTTAAGGGAAAAGAAGGGCAGAAGCTGAAGTGCAGAGTTAATTCGTGCAGGGTTTTGAGAGGTTCACGTGTTTGAAATGCAGTTAAAAACTTCGGAAGGGGAGCTGTTTTTCAGTGATCTGTCTCACTGAGTCTGTGACATACTGATACAAGTGTGTACTCACGCTCATTCCTTGTGCTGCAGGAAGATCATGGACTCCGGAGAGCTGGATTTCTACCAACATACCAAGGTCTGTTCAAACACCTGCCGAAGCACTAAAATTGACCTGACCGGAGCCAGAGTGTCTCTGACCAGCCAGACGTCAACAGAGTATATTCCTCTCACCCCTGCCTCTGCAGACGGTATGTTGAGTGCTTTCCACAGCCCTCGCTACTGGGGCTCTTTAAGAGTCAAAGCTTAATTACTGCTTCCTTATGAATGCAGGTACTGCTGTCTCTATCATGTTTTTTCTTGTTACTTTTTTCCTCCTTCACTTCTCCCCCTCCCCCTGTTGCTGAGTCTCCCATGTTGGAACTATGCAGAAGCAGCCATTGTAACGCTGCATGGCAGAGCAGTAGGTGCCTGGAAGGAAATCACTTGGGTAATCTGTAAGAATGATATTCATTCTAAAGAGTTACCCATACTGCATCCTGGCTTACTAGGAGCTGCATAGCCAAAGTAGTGACCTCCAGATAATCTGCAGGAACGCAGTAGTCCCCCCGTGATGTGGTCATCCCTCAGCGCCAGCATCTGATCAGCTGCTAGCTGTCCTCAGTGTTCATGGCAGTAGGCAGCAGAGATGAGCATGATTCCTTTGTCACAGCATGCTGGATTTGGGGCCCCTTTTATTGCACTTTCTTTCAAAGATGGCAACTGACTTCCTTCTGAATAATTTAGATATTTTCATTTAAGGCTCCATTTCTGAATTATTTATTGCTTTGTCTGATGAAAGATTCAATGCAGCCATGGAATGCTACACATTTCTATCAGATCTCACACAAATAGGTTACAACAATGAATTTAAAAGGACATTGCTTTAGAGTTTAAGTTCTGAATTTGATTTGCCTTAAGCAGGGAATGTTCTGTGGAAATGTGCTCCTAGTTCTAAATACTTATATTTGCAAATCCTTTTGCCACTGAGAACTTAGAGAAAAAAAAAAAATCTGATAACCACAGATTTTGCAGGAGAAAAGCAAAAATTGTTTTTGTACCCTTGTGCTGGATCTGCCCAGAACATTTAACAATTGAATTCCATGCTTTGGGCTAGTATTTATGGTTGCTGTACATGTGTAACCCATTGTTTATTTCAGTGGTAGTTCCACCCCACAGCGTGGCTCTAACCCTTGTCGCTGTGAGCAGTTCTATGAATATAATCCAAGATGTTAACATGCAAACCAGGATGTTTCCACACTGTTGGTGTCAGGCTGTATTTGGCACAAGTGGGAAAAACCAAATTTGCAGAGTGGAAGGAACAAACTTCTCAGGGAAAGAATTATTTGAAAACTACAGAATGTTACAAACTGCTCGTCTTTCTGGAGAGCATTCTAGTGCTCCCAGAATGATCACTGCATCTCTGGCCCAGATTTTGAGCTGTACAGCTCCTGCATGCAGCTTGACATCCTCCTGGCAGCTCAACTGACATGTGACTCCTTCATCTCCATAGTAACAGTACCATAGAGATTGGAAAGGGCTGTGGAGAGCAGAGATCACATGAGTGGCTGGGCGGGAGTATGATCACAGTCATATACGCTGGAGGCAGCAAGGGTAGAACAGTATCCCAGTGTGTATTATCTGTAGGAATGACTGGGTCAGTTCAGTTTTCAGGCCTGTCAAACCACAGGTCAGAGGCAGACTCTTAAGAATTTTGTGTCTCTTCCACGTCCTGTAGATTGGCAGCAAGCCAGGTAATTGCCTTGAACACTTACCAGACCAGATACAAATTCTACTTGCCAGCGCTCTGTTACATTAATTTTTCTATTATTATAATAAAGAAATTACTCTCCCCGATGCAAAGAGAATTTTGCAAGAGTTGTGTAAATAGTGCCCAGGGTATTGCCCAGCTGTTTGGAAAGTAAGCAAAGTAAACAATGGTCTCATGTGACTTTTAATCCCACTTCAGAGTCTCTGTTTGCTTGGCTTTCAGCTGGAGGAGATAAGTTCATACAATATTGAGTACTGCATGGACTTGCCTGTGTTCTTGGATGTAACATAGTGAGTGGGTGTATAATGCAGGGACAGTCTGACGCTATGTGGCAAGACTTGTGAAGCCATGACTTGTGTTTTCTTTTCCTTTTCGATCTTGGTTGCAGTAAATGGATCTCCTGCTACAATCACCATAGAAACTTGTGAGGAAGCCAGTGATTGGACCACTAGCATTGGAGGTACAGTTCAGGAAAACCACAAGACACAATGCTGTCAATATCTCCTGTCATACTCCATGTGGGCTACCTACATTTGAAAGGGATGTAGGGGGAGAAGGTTGAGGAGAAAGAAAAGATAGGGTGAGTAGGAAAACTGTTTCTGCCTGTAGGTGTTCCCATACTCAGCTGCCTGATCTTCATGGTATTTATTTGCCATAGCTTTAGATTATTGTAGTGTAGGACTAAGTCCTTTGTGTTTGCAGTGTGGCCACAACGTCGTCTTGGCATGAAATTGCTTCCAAGTGTCAGAATACCCAAGCATGGGTCAAATTCTGGCCACTGCCCTCAGAGGAACCTGGGTGTGAGTCCTGAGATTTCTCCCATGCGTCTCTGATTCAGCAGAATTAGGGAGGATCATGGAGGATAACATCTGACACCCAAATGGGATAGGGATTTGTGGTGCTGCATCCTGTTGCCTGTGCTGGGTTGTGGAAGAGAAGTGAGTGAGACTCCTAGGAGGAGCTCTGCCTCAGTCCTTCTGGCTCAGGGTTCAAAGTGACTCACAGGATTCTTCTGCAGCTTCTTTGCCCTGTTGGGCAGGATCAGTCCTGTGTGATATGGGGAATGGGGGGGGACTATAAGGGGAAAGTATGTTCTTCCTTTAAAGCTACGCAATTGACTTGGCTTTTCCCCCATTGCCTCGGGATGCCTGTTCATACTGGGTTTTGCCCCATCCCCACCTGCCTAGAGGTAGAATGTCTTCTGCTTCAAACCCCATCAGAGCAAAGTCTAGGGTGAGCTCCTGCCTTTCGAAAGGATTGCTGGATGTGCACACCCCTTTTACCTCACAATAAGGCATGGTGATGTATCAGTCATTCAGCCCCCCCACTGCCTTTTCCTGGCACTCTGAGGTTCTCTCTTCTGCTTGCTGCTCCCCTAGATGACACGTTTGCATTCTGGCGAGGTCTGAAGGATGCAGGGCTGCTGGAAGAAGTGATCGAAGAGTTTCACCAGGAGCTTGTGGAGACCATGAAGGGCTTACAGCAGCGGGTCCAGGATCCTCCCTTACAGCTCAGTGGTAAGAGCCTAATTGCAGGAGCTAATAAGCAACATCTTTGTGTCTTGATTATTATTATTATTATTAAATGGCAAAAAACCTTTGTGAACACAGAGTTAAGGTTGCTGGGTGATAGCTCATGCCCTCTCAGAACATCGAGTTCAGCAAAACTCGGTCTTCTGAAAACCAGGAAATACAGTTAAGGTAAATGCCCACACAGCCTTAACTCTGCCCTCCTTGAGCACTGCCCCACAGCACCCATAACACACTCCCACTCTGCCTTGTTACTGTAGTGGACAAGCACTACCTGCGCTGAAATATTGAGACTCTTCTCCCTACAGAGTATCCCATTTGTCAGATTTGACAGCCACTTCAGACCCTTTTACAACCCTTCACATGTGCATGCAGTATGCCACCTAAACCTATATTTTCCCCTCTCCCATCATTAGATCCATAGACTGCTCTCAGATCCCACCTTGCTGCTGACACTCGAGACGATTCTGCATTGAAATGATAGTGACACATGCACCTCTTTCCTTTGATAATATGCATGGGGGAACTCAGACTCAGATCTCCTCACATCACAATCACAGCTTTTCCAAGCTGCTCCAACTTATTCCTCCACTATTCAATACAGCTACACCTGACAGAGTGACTGCAGCTGGAGAGCATGCAGATAATTCCCAGTGGCTCATGCCAGCTGCAGGGGGGGCAGAGTTAAGGTTGCATAGGGGTTACAATAACTTTAAGCGTGTAAGAGAAGATTGGTGTGTCTCTCTTTCTCTAACCCCTGCCTCACCGTTCCCTGCAAAACATAGTCCCCTCCTCCCCAGCAGCACTTCCAGTGCACCATCCCATTAAGCCACTAGTTGGCAATGTAGAAGCCATTAACATGTAAGAAGCTGCTCCTTGCCATCTCCTGCATTGTGCTGCTGTGTACACATATCACGGGCAGCAGCTTACTAGAGGGCCACATGCTCCCTTGGTTATACACTGAGCTGTGTATACCTTGGCTGTACACTGAGCTGGGCCCACTCCCACTACACACCTCCAGCTGAGATTTCTGACCCTGCTTCAGCCAGGCTTCCCTAGCCATGTCCATCCAGTTCGCCCCTCCTTCAAACCGGGCCCCTCCACCACACCCCGCTCCCTCCCCATGCATGTTATGTATTTTAGCTATTCATCTTATGGATTTCAGATGTTTACATGGTTACCTTCAGTCCCCCCCAGCCCAGATCCCAGCTCACATGGAGGGGCAGGGAGAGGCGCTCAGAGTCCCTAAGAGAAGCAAGGTCCCCTAGATCCCAGAACATACAGGGGCAGGGAAAGGGGCTCAGACCTCTGCAGAGGTGTAAGCCTCCCGCAGATCCCAGCACACCCTGAATGGGAGAATTGAGGGCTAACCCCCATCCCCTCTGCTACTCCTCACATTCTCCAACCCACTTCCTTCTCCCTTCCCCAATACCGCCTCCCACCCCTTATCTGAGCCCCTCAATCACTCTTCCCTCCCCTGCCACCCATTCCCATTTATCCCCTCCCCATAATAACCCCATCCCTGGCTGCACACCAAACCCCTCTTACCCTGTTCCCACCTACTCTTGCACCCCTAATCAGCTTCCTCTCCCACTGTGCATTCACATGTGTAATTTCTTTTCTTTTCGGAAAATAGTTGCAGTACCTTCTGAATATTCTGCTGTACTCAGATTACATTTCCCCAAAATAAAAAAACCTTTTGATAGAGGCAGATTGGGCAACATGTCTGCTTTTTTCACTTCAGATTTCTTCCCTGGGTTGGACTTGAACTCACAATGTCTGGGATGGAGATCAGATTCAGTGAAGGTTACATTCCCTCAGAACTCCCAGGTCCTGTGACCTGGAAGTAGTTTTCCAGATAGTCTCTCACGCCGCACATGCTCAGTGTAATACCTTAGGAGCAAGAATAAGCACGAGGCTTGTGATGAGAAGCAAAAGCTTTTTGAAATATCAATGTAATTTGATTTCCCACAAAGGGCTGGTGGGTGCCATGCACTCTGTTGGGGTAACACTGTAGCCTTAGGGACCCTCATGCAATGATCTGAGCCCTTGTTGAGCTTTGTCTGTGAGCCAAAAAAGGTTGCCAGAATCTCTCAACTTTTGTTTTGGGAGATGTATCTTGAAACCTCCTTGGTCAGACGACCCCAAATTTGGATCACTAACAGAACCCTGTGCCCCATGAGGCAGACCATATTTCAAGGCAGTCCAAGTAGCCATGTAGATTTTCGAGCACTTAGAGTTGAACTTTAAACAAAAATCTAGTCTTAACTATAGCAGAATGAATTATGCTCATTTTGTTGGCATCCCTTTAATTCTCACATGCAGGGTGGGGTTTGGAAATAACTGGCTGCTATGGACGGTGCATCAGTGGTGCAGGATAGTTTTGTGGCCAGTTTCCTTAGAATCTGCAATGCAGTCTGTGGTAAAAATTTGTTTCCAGTAGTTGGCAAACAGATTCCCACTGGCTTTGCCATCTGTGCATATGCCCTGCTAATTTGAGCCAGTTTCTACAGTTCATTGCGCTGCATCATTAGAAGGTGACACACCATGTGATGTAGTCAGAGATTGAAGGAAACTGACTGTCATTCCCACTCACACCTTTCACTGAATATAGAAAAAATAATTTAATATGACTGCTTCATTTTTTGGAATGTTTGGCACTTGGGACCAACACTACTGTCAGCTATCGTGTCCTCCTTAATCTTTGAGCTTTTCTCCTTGTGTTCTGCCTGCCATGGCCTTTCACAGCACATCTCGCTGGGAGGAAACACACCTTGTCCTGCCACTTCATTGAGACTGAGGGGCAGTGTCACTTTGAGAAACTCTTTGCCCTTCAGTTATGGGATTCTCTTTTCTTTGGGGATGTCTGTGTGAAATTACTCAGACAACAGTCATCTTAACCACAAGATTTAATACAAGCACTGAGAAAACAGAATGAAAATAAAAGTAATTGTTTGCTAAACTCGTCTAGATTTATGCTTCCCATAAACTGAGCTAGAGAAGGCATTTTCAGCATTGGTAAAGGGGGGAGAAAAAGGCTTCTAGCTTGTATCCTGTGAAAGCAATTCTCTCCTCTGACCACGCTTTGGTCAGCCTGTCAGCAGTGCTTGCTGTCCAGATAGCAACTAGCTATGTGTCCCGAGACCTCTCTTATCAATCTCTGTTTGGGAAGAAAGGACTATTGTCTCTTAATCACCCCTTGATGCTTCTCCCCATCCTTCCTGTCTCAGTATTTTAAGCATAAATACTAATGAATTCTTAAGCTCTGACCTCTTGCATTATCCTAAAACAGATTTGGCTACGTCACTTTAGCACAGAGGTTCTCAAACTTCATTGGAACGCAACCCTCTTCTGACAACAAAAATTACTACACGACCCCAGGAGGGGGACTGAAGACTGAGCCTCGCCGAGCCCCACCACCCTGGGTGGGAGGTCCAAAGCCCAAGGGCGTCAGCCCCAGGTCGGGGACCTGTAACCTGAGCCCCGCCATCCAGCAGGTGGTTGGGCTCGGGCTTCGGCCCTGGCCCTAGGCCCCAGCAAGTCTGACGTCAGCCTTGGTGACCCCATGAAAATGGGATTGCGACCCACTTTGGGGTCCCGACCCACAGTTTGAGAACTGCTGCTTTGGCATATCTGTGTTTTACCAAGAAAAAGGTAAATTCTTTCTGTAGGGAATGATTCTTTCCTCAACGATCAGTATCTATTTTTCTGTTTTAAGATGCTGTCTTACTCAACAACATAGTCCAGAATTTTGGCATGCTGGACCTGGTAAAGAAAGTTCTAGCTAGCCACAAGTGCCAGATGGATCGCTCAAGAGAACAATACACACGGGATTTAGCAGGTATGCCCAACTGGAATTTCAGTGTCTCTTCTGTTAGCATCGCTGATACTGTCCTGGAGTTTTTCTGTGTAGGAAAGTAGATTTTTTTTTTTTTTTTTGCTAAGCCAATGCATGCTAGATCAGTTTAGCTTGGAATGATGCTAAAGAATTAGCTACATTGCCTTGGTTATTGTACTTCACTTGTTACTATGCTGTTAAAACTAGGAAGATGGCCACTGGGAAGCTTATGCTAGGTGGAGGTTGGACAGTCCCCGTACTAACATTCATTACGGTCTCTTGTGTTTAGCATTGGAGCAGCAATGTGACGAGCACCGCAAGCGAGCAAAGGAGCTGAAGCACAAATCGCAGCATCTCAACAACGTGCTGATGACTCTGACTCCAGTCTCCATCCCAGCACCTTTAAAACGCCCCAGACTTACCAGGGCCACCTCTGGGCCAGCTGCTATCACCTCTCAAGTCCTGACCCAATCAGCACAGATTGCCTTGGCCCCAGGAGTGCCCGTCTCTCAGCTTGCCAACCTCCCTCTCAGCAAAGTGGTGTCTGCCCTTCCAGCCTCAGTGCTTGGGAAAAGTACATCTCAGGCTCCCTCAGCCAGCTCCCCAGCCTCTCCGTTATTGGGAGGATACACTGTACTGGCTTCCTCAGGCTCTAGTTTCCCCAACACCGTTGAGATCCATCCCGATGCTTCCAACCTGACAGTCCTCAGCACGGCAGCCATACAAGATGGCAGCACTGTGGTGAAAGTGGTGAGCCCTTTTCAGCTGCTCACCCTCCCGGGACTAGGCACCACCATACAGAACGTAACACAAATGGCTCCCAGCGGGAGCACGATTGTGACGGTGCCGTCGAGCGCTGTTGAGGATGCCACGGCGTCGGACGAACACACCACCACCATCGAGGTGACAACAGTGGCAGAAGAGCCAGAGCAGAAATGAAAAGGGGACTTGCCTGGAGGGACATTTTTTTGTGATGTACTCTGGCTTGAGCTGCCTTTTCTCTGCCTGCGCTGAGGGAAGAGGGAACAGTATAAAGAGGGCACAGGGAATTGAGACTCTGAGGTAGATTGGCTAAAAGGAGTAATAATGAGGTTTGAGCCAAAGAAAGGGAAAAAGAGAGACCTCCCAAAAAGAGGGGGGAAGGAATGAATCGCACTGACCCATTAACCGGTTTACATATAAAACTTTCCTCCCGTGTTTTCCTGGAACACATGTTATCTTCATGTCTAGTTCACTAGCTCTGAATCGTCTCTAGACATCTCAGCTGGAACAGAGCGTCAAGAGAAGCAGATGTGGGCAGGGCCTGAGAACAGGGAATGAGCAGAAAGTAGCGAAAGGTTAAGGAAACAATAGATGATGAGGCATTTTACCAGAACCTAAGGGGGTAAGTGGCCAAGGGGCACTCCTGAGTTCTGGCATGATTCAATACTGCATGTAGGCCAACAATACTAGGGAATCTGCTGCTTCCCCCTCACGGCAGAGGACAGTTTGGGAAGCTGGTGTTTTGGAGGGTGGGCCGGTACAGAGTGCATAACTGGGCATGAAGAATGTGCATGACCGTTGAGGTAAAGCAGCCTTGGACCAGGGAAGGTCCTCTGATGTGTGGCAGTCACAGGGCTGATCCAAGTGACCCTTGTTGCTGGTTTCTGCACATAATGTTGGGTTTGGGTAGTTAAATGCAGTATCTCAATATTACCAAATGTGCAGTCTCCTCATTGTGAGCGAGATGCTGGTCTCCCAAGTCTGATCATTTAGAGGGGGAGGGGGGACACTTATTAAAGCTTTTGGTTCCATCCAGGGACAGGTGTGGAAAATCTGTATCTTCTGAGGATTTAGGGTCTCCTTCTGTTTTCTCAAAAATCTGTTCTTTTGGGTTTTTTAAAAAAAAAAGGAAACTCTTGTGGCCCTTCTGGTTGTGAAGATGCTATCCCGGGGCACAGTTGTACTGTTGAGTATGCAGAGAAAACAATTAAATAATAGCACTAAGAGACATCTGAACTTCTTCCATCTTAGCAGGTGTTAACTGTGGAATCTAATCGTCTCCATGTCTCTGCTAACCGCTTATCAGAAGCATCTAGCCAGTGAGCCTTATCTAGTGTGGCTGGGTGTTCTTGTCCCCTCCCAATGCGTCCAAAAGGATATTTTGTGGGCTGCAAGGTTTGAATATGCAAATAGAATATTCAGATATCAAATACTCTTTTGATTATTCAGCTCGCTGAGAGGTTCGCTACTGTCCTTATTTTTGTAAAAGTAGTGTGTGTGTGTGAAAGTGACATGTCAGCTAGAGACAGTGTTAAAGGGGCTGGATTCCTGCAGTGTGGGTTTTCTATCAACTTGATCTGGCAGCAGCAGCAACAACAGGTCACTTTAATAAGCTAATAAATATTTTTGAAAGAGTGCTGCTGGCTTATTTCATCTCCTTGTCCGTGTCTGATTGTTACAGCTGAAGCACAAAACTGGCTCCGAGAATGAACAGAATCCTCTTCCTCTTCTCCCCATGCCCTCCACACACGCCTGCAAAGAAATACTGCCAATCCTTCCAAAATTTTGGCAATACTCTGTTTCAGGTTATATCTTAGGAAGTTATTTCCCTGGTGCTGTGGTGGTAGGAGAAAGCCAAGGGTGCTTTCCCTCACATGAGCATAGACTGGTGTGTTAGCAAAGTGAAGAGGGAATGTCATTGGAAACCTAGATTGGGGGCTTGGTAGGAAAGAAATGTCCTTTGTTTGCTGCCTTAACCCTTTGGAAAGATTTAATTGTGGCAAAGCTTTAGATTTGGGATTAGCATCCCCTGACGCTTTCTTTACTACTGTTTTTTCTAGGCCAGCCTGGAATTCCATATGTTGGTGCTAATAAAACTCTAAGAATGGGTGAAGGCATGTTATTGTTAATGTCTTTACATAGCATTTTTAGAGGGGTGGGGTTTTTAATAAATTAAGAAATAGAATTTGAATTATAGGAGGAGAGTCTTCTTTCTCCTCTTCTTTTGAGTGGTGGAGAGGGCAGGAATCTGCAAGCAAACAGAACAGGGCTTTCCAGAATTATAGCCTTGACATCACCTCATTTTGTGAATGAAAAGAAGCTTAGCCCAAGACTTGTTATTAATTACTTAAAGGGATTTATTTGTGGCTGATGCTCTTAACTCCAGGAGGCAGGAAACATTTATGACAAAACCATGCAAACCTAACCGACTATTTTGGATGGGAAGCAACAACCCTCAAAAGACCTTTCACTTTTGTTGTCTCTCTTCCCCAGCTTGGCTATGAAATGCTGCTGAGCGTGGTCTCAGTAATGGGTGGAATTAGGATGCTCCTATGAGAAAGCAGTCGTGCCCTTGTAGACAAGAGAGGTGCTTGGTGGAAATGGGGAAGAAATTAGAGTTGGTGGTGGATGGGGTAGGAAGTGGGAGCGTGCAGCTTGTTATGAAGTTGCAAGATGAAAGACTTGAGCCTTATGCTGCCTTCCCTCTAGTTACTGAAAGGGCCCTACTCTGTCTGGGGGGTGGAGGGGGCACAGTAGGGACAAGCAACAGAAGTATCTAGCAGGTGACTGTGGTTCAGGAATCAGCCACAGGGATATGGTTCAGGAATCACTAGCTCTTGTTTTACGGAGTTCAGGCCCCATTGAAGCAACAGCTTGGAGTTCATAGATCTGCTTGGCAGAAGATGTAAAGAAATACTAGCAACCCAATCCTCCCAGGCCGTGAAAGAGACAGCACAGCTATTAACTATGTTGGGGACCTTTCATGTATCTTGTGCTCTTTAGCAAAAGGTGTCTTGTCAGCTGAAATAATCATGGGAAGCACATATGTCTCTTGTGTGCCTCTCACATGTGGTATTTAGCCTGCCGCTTATGAACCTGGAGTTCTGATCAATACTGCCTGTATCTCCAACAGCAAGCAGCATGGAGACAACAGGAACACTTTCCACTGCCCATTATGTGGAGGGAAGGGATGGCCTTCCAATGTGTGGGGAGCTAGTCCCCTATCCTCATTGGAGACTGGGGAATAAAGGCAGTTGCATGGTTGGATTCCCCCTGCTCCTAAGCATTTGAGTACAAGTAGAGGAAGAAAACACACATACTTTCACCAGGAAGGGAAGGGAGAGATTGTTAAATAGCATCACCAAGCCACTAAACAATCCCAGTGTGACATCCTGACATTATTACGTTGTGACCTTTAAGCTGTGGGTGCCCAGTCAGTAAAAGAGTTGCTTGACATGATGGATATTAGGGCTTAAATCGCTGACTTTTAAATATCTCAGGGTGTATTCTTGTGTGCTACTGTATTAGGCTGTTAAATTGTGATGTCACACACAGATGCTGAATCACTATGCAAATATTGCAACATGAAGCCAGGATGTTGCACAGGAATTATTTTGTGTGTCTGCAACCTCTGTGGTTCAACAGCATGCATCTAGAGCATAACGAAATCAACAGGCTGTCGAGCATTAAAACCAATTCAACCAAATTTGCTTCAGTATCTGATCCCCTCTCTTGCTTTGTTGGAAGCTCTGAACTGTTTAGTGGCCAGACACGGGCAACTCCAGGAAATCCAATCAGGATTCTTCATTTGTTTTGCTGTGTTGAGATATTGTATCTGTTGATGAGGATTTTGTAATGTTTTCCCAAGGAGATGAGATACCCAAGCCTGTGAAGTGTTGTGTGAGAGGAATTTTTGTTAATGATTGTCAGGAGACTGCTGTTTTACTCATATACATTTTGGCAATACAGTTGTAAACGCTGTAAAGCATATATGGAGCTATAAAGCACTATGGAGATTAAAATTGATTGAAGCACTTCCGTTTGAGGCCAGTAGGTGTAGCTAGAGAGAAGCATATTGTGACGCTTGCCAGAGCACAGCAGCCAAAAGACAAACAGGAATAAAAGATAGACAGGTTGGGAGAGGTCTGTTCTCCCCCAGAATGCATATGTATGACTGTCATTAACATTCATTTATTCTGTATGTGTATATCTGGGTGACAATAGGCTGCATAGGCAGGATCTTGTCTGGATTTACACACCAAAGTGTGATTTAGGAGCTACTGGCTAAAATCCAATGGTCTTTAAACAGTATGTGCCAGGTAGGTAAAAGGGTTGTCTTGGCTTGATGGATGCTAGGCCCTTAAGTCACCAGCTTTCTAACATTTCATGGCATGCTCTTTTTTTTTTTTCAGTGTATAGGGACAAATACACCTAAGTCCTGGTGTCTTGAGGGAATCGGTGCTCTTCCCTTTTCTTCACTGCAGTAGATTCGGCTTATTAACAAACCTCAGTTTCCAGCAAAAAAAAAAAAAAAAATGGCTATTCTCTGGTAGTTGCTAATGAGCAGAAAGCAGGTTTGTGAGGCTGCACTGAGGGAAGGAAGCACTGGGACCCGCTGAGTGCTGGCTCCAGGCAGGTTAGCGAGGCAGCAGCCAGGGAAAGCAGGTCCCAGTGCTTCCTTCTCTCTAGTTGCAGCCCTGCAAACCTGCCTATCATGGAGCCTTTCTTCCAGAAACATGTTGCTAATAAGCAACATGTTACCAGTATCCAAGTCCCATTTAAGATTAAAGTCAATGAGATGGGATTGGTTCCTAGCAAAATGGTGCTATTAACCAGACATCATTAATGTCCAGGTTGCTATTAAGTGGAATCTACTGTACTTGAACATAAGAATGGCCACACTGGGTCAGATCAGTGGTCCATCTCGCCCAGTAACCTGTCTTCCAACAGAGGCCAGTGCCAGATGCTTCAGAGGGAATGAACAGAACAGGGCAATTTAGCAAGTGATTCATTCCCTGTCATCCAGTCCCAGCTTCTGGCAGACAGAGGCTTAGGGACACCCAGAGCATTGGGTTGCATTCCTGACCATCCTGGCTAATAGCCTTTGATGGACCTCTCCTCCATGAACTTATCTAATACTTTTTTGAACCCAGTTATACTTTTGGCCTTCACATCATCCTCTGGCAATGAGTTCCATGGTTGTGTGAAGTACTTCCTTTTATTTGTTTTAAACCCACTGCCTATTGATTTCATTGGGTGGCCCCTGGTTCTTGTGTTCTGTGAAAGGGTAAATAGCACTTCCTTATTCACTTTCTCCACACCAGTCATGATTTTATTGACCTCTCTCATATCCCACTTTAGTCGTCTCTTTTCCAAGCTGAATAGCTCCAGTCTTTTTAATCTTGCCTCATATGGAAGCTGTTCCACACCCTAATCATTTTTGTTGCCCTTTTCTGTACCTTAGGAGCACAAAGGCCAGAAGAGGTGTGCGCATCCCCTTGTTGGGGTTGTTATTTTCCACCCGCTGGACTGGGGTGTGTATCTGTTACCAGCACAGAGCAAAGTCAGGCTGTTCACACTCCCCCTTCACCCACAGGCCCGTTGCTATTCTATAACTCACGCTGAGGAGGAGGAAGGGCTGGTTCAAACCACCCAGCCCTGTGCAAGTGAGTCAGAGCAGGCATGCTGACAATTGTGTGGGGCCAGCACAGTCAGTTTTCATTGTTCCTCCCACCCACGCTCCTGAACCTCCCTCCGTTCTCACAGGGCCCAGTCCCCGCTCCCACTGATGGGAACGGAACGACTCTCAGGGTATGTTTACACTGCAGTTAGACATCTGCAGCTGGCCCATGCCAGCTGACTCAGGCTAGAAGGGCTCAGGCTAAGGGGCTGTTTAATTGCAGTGTAGATGTTCAAGCTCAGGCTGCAGCCCTAGCTCTGGGACCCTCCCACCTTGCAGGGTCCTAGAGCCCAGGCTCCAGCCTGAGCCCAAATGTCTACACCACAGTTAAATAGCCCCTTAGGCCAAGCAGCCGGCAGTGTAGTAATGGCAGTGTAGACATACCCTTATTGACTTCAGTGAGCATTGGCCAGGCCCATAGGTCCTAGGCTGTGTCCTGTGATTCCACTGCAAGTAGGACAGGCTCAGCGGACCTGGAGGTGTCAAGGGTGAGTACAGAGAGGTATATGAGGGTGTTCTAATGTGTCTTGCATCAAATGGACGTGACAGG